CCCTTCTGGGTGCAATTCAAGGTGTTGGTTATCACCTTTAAAGCCCTACATGGCACAGGACCAAGTTATCTACAGAACCATCTCTGCCTGATAGGATCTGCCCACTCTATCAGATAGGATAGGGTAGGCATGCTGCAGGTCACTTCCCTGAAATCTAGCGGGACCTCGAAAACATGCCTTTTCCATGGCTGCCCTTATCTTATGGAACACCTCCCCTTTGGTGATTTGGCAGGCCTGCATCCTTCTAGCCTTTTGGAAGGCCATCAAGACCTGGGTTTTTACCCAGATGCTGGGGTAGAGTAAGGATGTCTGGAATTGGTCGTGGGGCATCCCAAAGGGATGACTGAGGCACCAGCTTTTGTTTTGTTTTTATGTTTTATGATTTTTATAGTTCTGGGTTTTACTGTTGTTGTGAGTCACCTAGAGTTGTGTTTTTAGATGGGTGGCAATACAAATCTTTTAAATCCCTCCCTCTCTCTCTCTCTCTCCCTCCCTCCCTCCTTCCCTCCCTCTTCCTCCATCTCTTTCTCTCTCTCATCTTTCAATATCTTGTAAATTCAGTAAAAATGTGAAGAAGTAAATACAGGAAGGCCTCTCAAAATACAAATCAACCTGGAGTTAAATTCATCTTCATCACATCGATCCAATTGCAAATTCTCAAAGAAATTCTGCCCCAACGGACTAGACCTCTCTCATTTGTATCAAAACAGGGGATGGCTTCAAATTTACTATTAGAAACCTTCCTGGGGAATCTTCTACCAAGATATGCAAAGGAGTCAGAACACAACCTCAAATCCCAATCCTTATACTTGTCAAAATTATTGCTGTGATCCAGCAATGTTCAGTCTTATTTACTCTCATTTATTAGCCAGATAGAATAATAAAATGAGATTAGCAACAGAAATTTAGTGTTCGTTTATAAAATGTAACTTAGCTGCTCCACTTACTGAAGTTCCATTAATGTTTTCAGAATTTTTAATTATACAGGCAAGACTTTTTTTTTAAGAAAAGGAGAATGCCAGACTCTATGGTGTCTACCTTGCCATAAATTTTATCAAGCAGACATTAAATAGACCATTCATAAGAGCTGTAAATGGGTAAATTGGCAGTACAATATTTGTTCTCCAGAATCACCACTGCCCAGCCTTATGCTATCTCCAACTGCTGCGAACATGAAAGACTCTATCTAGGTCCTCGGTCTCCAAGCCAGAGGTAGATATTGTCACCACAAAGGACAAATCTTTTTATTCATTTGTGAATAGAAACTCTTTTATTTTTCTCTGATAACCCACCGTAGGGGTTTCTTGCTTAGAACATTTCTTAACTCATATGTCATCACTGCTACAGAGATGGTGTAAAGTAGCTAGGTGAGATCTCCCCGCCCTAGTATTTTTGGCGATTGTTTAAGATGCCTCATCTTGGCTCCACTCCCCACTTTCATAGTAGCCTAGCTAGAAGTCCCTGAAGGTTTATGTTCTTTCCCCCCAAACTCTAGGAACTGTTAAGGAGCCTTTTGCAGTCCTGTCTAAGAATGGTAATCTTCTCCTCTTTGGCATTTCCTCCTTTTTCCCCTCAGCTTTTCCTCCTGCTTCTTTTTTCCTCATTTTCCTTTCTTCTGTTCTTCCTATGTCCCTTGTCACTTTGGGACATTTACATGGCGCTAAACTAAAGATTGGCTTTACTCATATCATGACCAGCAACTTTAAGCAGGTTATCAAATTGTCCAACTGGGTCTGCCATCATCATCAATTATTGGAGTTTGTGCCCATTCTAACCTGTAATTTGAATTTGAAAGCTGCATTTATAGTGACTCATCCATTTCAGCGTATCAGCCTTACTGAGAGTAACTCTATATTTTTGAGCTTCTATCTCAAGGATTCTTTGCGCAACAATTTTCTTAACTTGTTGTTCAGGTGCTGCTTAACAAGAGGCTCCTGAAACTACATATACTCCTAATGTAATTTGTATGTTGTACTATCCAGGAAGAGTCTAACTGAAGCTTAGTCTGTTTACTCAAGCAGAACTTTGGGAGTCTATCAGTTTCCATATAAGTTAGTCTCCACCAATAATTATATACGCCAGTTTTTGACTGCATACCCAGTGTATATATTCTCAATTCAGCTCTAACTTTGGTAGCTGGAGTTCTTTTATCCACACCAAGTATACTCCTCAGATGATACGATTGTGTTCTAAGAGTAATACATGCTTTTGACCCCATACTTCACCCACATATAAGAGCACGGGCATAACTTTAGCTTTACACTTTGATAATTGGGGCTAAAGACCCCAGATAGCAATGATTCATTAATTTTAACAGCGAATTCCTGTATGATGTTGCTCTGAGTAAGCTCCTACAACAATGAGAGAGGCATGACCCAGTCTCAGAATAAAACACCCCTAAGTAAGGAAAGCTGTTGAGTTGCTGTATTAATTCACCATCTAGAAACCATCTATATTTGTTACGTCTTTTTTCAAAGACAACCTCTGACTTGGATTTGTTAATAAGCAGACTGTTATTGCAACATAGAAGCCAAATCTACTTAGCACCTATGCAGCCCTACTTGCAAATATGATAGTAAAATCATGTTGTCGGCATAAAGCCAGGTATTAAAGTACATGTTACATACCTTAAGCCTATGTACTTTAGGATTATTCATGGGTATTCATTAAAGTACATGTTACATACCTTAAGCCTATGTACTTTAGGATTATTCATGGGTATTCATTCAGCCCTAAAACATTAATTCATTAATTCATTCAGCCCTAGAATGCCATTGATATATAGGCTGAATAGTATCAGTGCAAATATACAGCTCTGCCTTACTCCTTCGTAAGTATTAATCCTACTTATCATGGTTCTGTTGACCCTAAATCACACTCTCAGGCAGGTGTTTGTGTGAATGTCTTTGCTCAGTACAAGTAATCTGCGTTGCGTATTGAAAGTGATCAATTCTGCTCCTTAAAATTTTTCTATTGATTGTATCAAATGCTACACTAAGGTCTATAAAATCAGCAAACAATTGTTTCCCAATGCTAATTAGATGGTTCAAAATGAAACAATTGTCAATAGTAGAGTGACCCCATATGAACTCAGATAGTTCTACTAGAATACACTTTTTAGTCACCCAGGTCTTAATTCTGCACAAGGAAAACTTGGCATACACTTTGGCCACAATATTTATTAAGCTAATAGGCCTGAACTGTTCCAGAAAGGTGTTTGTACCTTACTAGGTCTCAATAGGAAATTCCACTTGAGGTTAATAGACTCAATGTTTTAATAATAGATGCCTTGTTACGCCATTTCCCATAATTAACAGATGCCTTCTGTATTATCAACACTGCCTAATTTGGCTTCGGTATTCTATTGTTTTAAACTCTGCAGCATTTTCTTAATCTCCATGGAGTTTATATGCATTCACATGCTTCTTTCTTTTTTATAAATTCTATCCAGAAATGCAATTAATATTCCTCTGATCAAAAAGAAGCATTACCTGAAAAGCCTCTTAATTGACTTTTTGGTCACTTCTTCACTGGGAAGTAGTCACAAGTGATGAAAACAGACTTGCAGGGACTGAGAGACTTGATAGCATCACAGGAATGGTGCAGAGATGAAGAGAAATGAAAGCAGAGTGCCTGTGGAAAAGATGAAAAGAGAGTGGAGTTCAGTGAAACAGTCTTATTTTCTCTGTCGGTTTTTCTATTAAGTGTGGGAAAAATGGCAAGCAGTTTCTTATCTCTGGGGATTTCAGGGAGGGAATCTTTATGATGAGTATTGTATAGTCACTTTGTCTGCTCTTGTTCATAGCTATTGACTGACCCAATAGAAATTGCAAAGCACCATTGGTGTACACAATTGTACAAAGAGTTAATTCAGAAGGTGGTTGCTGCATTCATTTTAGAAATAAAATAGCTAAACGTCAAAGTAATCTTATGTTGTTTTACACATTCTAACATGGTTATGGAAGGGGAGAAGCAATAACTTTCTCATTTTTATACACATGAGACTACTCTGTTTTAGCAAATTTGTCTAATAGGCAAATAACCAGATAATGTTAAAGTTATCTGATTGATGATTTGCATAGAAGCTTTGAGATAACGTTGCAACAGAAAGATCCTCTTCCTGAACATACCCACCTATTCTTACAATTACACATTTCTTTTTAATCTGCTGCTTGAAATAGCCTGTTTTGCATTGATTTCTGGGGAAGATATGCTAAGTTTTTTTTTTTTTTTAAGAAACAGAAATGCTTGGTAGTGTTTCTTTATTTAAGCTGAACCACAAAAGCAGGTTCTTTTATTATAGGGTTAAACATTTTATTGTTTGTAAAAGGGATATTGACTTAGCTATTAGCTTGAACCTTGGTATCCATCATCTGACTGATGAAGTCTATGATTATGTTAAATTTAAAATCAGTTTGATAAAAATGGCCAATAAGTTTTAAAATTCCAGAACTGTTTCAGGGTTTGTACAAGGAAGTGTTTATCATTAGCTAAAGTAGGAAGATATTCTGGAAGGATGATTTCAGCTTAATGTAAGCTTCATTACAGACCTGTTTCCATATGATTTAAAATATAATAGAATTCTCAAGCGTGTACAATCTCAGTCTTATGTGCAAAACACTGCAAAAGGACAGCAAAAGTCAGGTATGAAATTATGAATTATCCAACAACAGTAGCTCAAAGAAGCCTTTTAGATGTCAGCTCAGATTGAAACATTCGTTCCATTTCTGAGTTGACAAAAATATGGATTCTGGTTCTGAAGAGTGATGTTTGAGACCCATTGACACTCTCTACAACAGAAGGTGAATTGTACAATTTTTTAAAGAACTTCATGCTGCTGCTATTGTAATGATTTCCTATAGTCACTTCCTCTAGATTTGATTGATTGATATAGAGATATCTAGTATAAAAAAATGAGTTGCAGAAAAGCATTGCTGCACTTTACATTGATGAAAATTTGATTATAGACTCAATTAACAGTTATGGGATGGGATATTCAAGCTTATGTTGCTGTAGTGTTTTGGGCCTACCTGCTAATTTCTCAGTTATGGGCACAAAGTAAGTTGCAATTTAAATACATGCATTTGTAACACAAACTATGTATTCTTCTTTTTTAATTGTCTACAAGGACTGGAATAAAAGTTAGAGCTAGATCAGTCTTCAACATAACACTGTTTTCCAGGCTACTTTAGTATTGATGTACAATGATTTTAGATTATTTATGTACAAAAATGAAATATAGCAAAACTCAGCTAGGTTTCAGGGTAAATAATAGAGATAAATATAATAACTTAAAGCATAAGCTAGAGAAAGCAAGACATAATTTTCTCTAACAATATAGAATATACAACTGTTTGGACAGTGATGAAAAATAAAGAAGATATGATTGTAAACTGTTTTCAATAAGATGTATTGAAGCTTTACTAAAATAATTTAATTTCAATATAATTGTATTTGTTTGCATTTTATTTATTTTGTTGTTTTATTTATTTTGTCATTTTGAACACTATTTTATTTTGTTTTGTTTTTTTCAGTCAGCCCTGTGCAGGATAATTTATTATTCAATTTATGTATTGATTTTAATTTTGGCTGACTTATTTTTCATAGGTTGCATAATTCGTCTGTTATCTCCCCAAATTATGTTAAAATGTTACTGTTATTGCCCAGTTGTGTTTTAATTTGTATCTATTATATTGTTGTAAACTTAGTTGCTAATGAGGACTGCCTATAAGTTGATGAAACAAACAAACAAATAAATAAAAATATTATTTGGCTATATTCAGAATAAACATGCTGAAACCAATGGGATTTAAATTATTATGTATAATTCAGTCAGTCTACTTTAATATAACTAAGTTTGGATTAATGCATTGCTTATAATTAAAAGACAGATATAAAATTGTAGTGACCAGGATCTTTGATTTCCTGGAATATCTCAACAACTACATTCTCTTGTCAAATTGTCATTATAAAACCCATATTACAAAGCAAAAATTATTATAGACAGGAAGAATAATCTATTAGGATTATTCCTGTGTTAGGAATAGTTCGAGATTTTCTTGTTAATCATTTGCAATGGCAGTTGCTCAGGACTTTCCCTGTTTCTTTCACTCTTACTTACTTATTTCTTTTGAAGGATTATGTCCCCCCACTGGACTTTCTGATGAGGAGGACATCTCACAAGACAAAGGTAGTATTTTAAAGATTGATTGATTATGTGCCATCGAGTTGTTTTCAACTCCTAGTGACCACATACATTTTCTCCATGACAATCTATCTCTAACCTGTTCTTTCAGGTCTCCCAATGGTGCACTCATTGCCCCTGTAACTGAGTCCATCCACCTTGCTGCTGATCATCCTCTTCTCCTTCCTTCCCCTTTCCCAGCATTAGACCCTTTTCCAGAGAGCTGTCTTTGTATAATGTGTCCAAAGTACTATATGATAATTAGAGCCCGGTCATTTGGGCTTGAGTGAGAACTCTGGGTTGATTTGTTTGATGATCCATTAGTTTGTTTTCTTGGCTGTCCATGGTATTCTCAGCATTAGACCCTTTTCCAGAGAGCTGTCTTTGTATATTTTTTCCAAAGTACTATATGATAATTAGAGCCCGGTCATTTGGGCTTGAGTGAGAACTCTGGGTTGATTTGTTTGATGATCCATTAGTTTGTTTTCTTGGCTGTCCATGGTATTCTCAGGAGTCTTCTTCAGCACCAAAGTTCATCCACAGATATGTACTCACAGTCCCTTCAGTTCTGTATCATACTGTGTAAAAATCTTTTTTCCTATTTCCCAAATGTTTTTGTCCCAAGCAAAAGAAGACAAATTATCTTAATTTCAGATTGATTTGGAATTTCTTTTGTTGCTCTCTTCTGACCTTACTTGATTGGTGGAAAGTGGTAGACGCTGTTGGGAATTTGCTTTCTGTGACTTGTCTCTCTATCACTCTACAATCCCCTTGGATGCTTATAATTCCTGATTTGAAAAAGGTATTCTTATACCTTCCTTTGGGGTTAACTGAAGTATGGATATCTACAATGAAGTACATACAGAATAGCCAGATTGGTGTAGCAGTTAAAGGCACCAGGCCAAAAACTGGCAGACTGCAAATTCTATCCTGCCTTCAACACCAACTGAGCAACTTTGGGCCAGTCCCTCTCCCTCAGCTCTGAGAAGAAGAAAATGGCAAACCACATCTGAAAAATGTTGCCAAGAAAACTGCAGGGATTTGCCCAGGAAGTCACCAGAAGTCAAGACTGACTTGAAGGGACACACACACACACACACACACACACACACACAGTGAAATACTGGACATTCACATATACCCCTTGGCCACATTGGAATTAAGGTTAAAGCATGAATCCATTAAAAAAAACAAAACAGAAATTCTATAACATTGAGCCGGAAGGGTAATAGTTTTTTAAGTGTTCTTACTGGCAGAAAGTAGGAAAGAAACTCCTGCAGCAGCCAAGGGTTGATCAAAGGGCAGGCTGATGTTCTGAGACAGGGTATGAAACCTCCTTTGATTCCCAATGGTAAGGCTAGAATATATTTTCTTCTGTTCATCAGTCCCAAGGCAAGCAGCAAGTAGAGCACAGTATTCTTGCTAATATATTAGACCAGTGTTTCTCAACCTTGGGAACTTCAAGATGTGTGGATTTCCCCAGCCAGCCATGATATTTTGGGAACAGGCTGTCCCTGCAGTTCCATATCAGCACCACTTCCATTTCTGATCCTTGAAAGTACTCTGAAGACTATTTACTATTGTCTTCAAACTAGCTGACCTCAAATAACTGTAAATAAGGAGTCATAATCACTCAAGCCACAATAGGTCCTACAGTAACAAAAATCTGCTTATCTTTGCACCACACAACAAGAAAATCATATAGATTCCTTGCATTCAAGATGCATACAGAGAATGAAAGAGAGAGAGAACATCCTTGACCTTTCTTCATGTTGTATGGTTTGATCAAATGCCAAACAATTCTGATCAGTTAGTATAAGATGGACCTGAAACATGTTGAGGTACTTTTCTCCTTGAAAAAACAAACTCAGGAATAAGGAAGCATAGTAAGGCAAATGGGAATGATAGCTACCCCCAAGCTCCACAGATACGTAGATTAGCTTTATCACAGTTTCAGATACACCCTCAACAGGTCAGGAATAAATCAACTCCACTCTCTAACATAGTCAATCTGAAGGATTACAGAGGTCTGGAGCTGCTTTCAGACTGGTGTAAAATCCTAAAGTGAATCTTCAACCAGTTATATATGGGATAATTCTAGATTATCCAGCCCACTCAGGCTGTCATCATTAGCATGGGAACTGTCTGTACAAGACTTCCTCAAGAATGTTAGATGTTCCTCAAAAAGGAGAAACAATATAAATTCCAAATCTGGGCTTCATTAGCTTGAAAAGCCCCACATGCTGTACCTTTCATTCAACTAGTACATGGTGGGATTTAGCCATGATATAACTTCAGAGTTAGAGGATAAAATATAAATGCATTTATAACTGCTGTAAAGAAGATTGGAGCTGCTTTTTAATATGTTTTTCTTTTCTTTTCTTTCTTTTCTTTCTTATTTATAACTTTTCTCTACTTTTCTTTTTCTTCTCTAAGTTTGTACTGTTTTTACTCTGTAAAAATGTCTTCAATAAAAACTACTTCTAAAAAAAGTACATGGTGGGATTCATGGGAATTTTCTGATACATGATCACACATCATAACTAAAGACAAATTGAATATATAAATTGGCACCAATGGAAATTACAACCTTGCTTTGAATCCTAAGGTGTTCACGGAAATAAAGTTTCCCAACACTTCCTATCTTCCAGTGCCAGCTAAATAATGTAGAATGAGAAGTGAAGCTACTGGAGGAAAGGTAAATTGTCTGGACATTGAGCCAAATAAAGCATAATTAAAGGCAGTTAAAAGAACAATATTTTTCTATCTCACCCCTTTTTAATTCTCCAGTGAGCATTTTGGGTTGCACTGGTGGCTGCAGAAGGAAGAGAGGGCTGGGAACTTTTCTTTTGTGAATGATATTATATTATAATTATATTAAACGTGTCCATTTGAACAAATGATCAATATAAATAATCCAATCCTTCGTAGTGAAATATACTGAAATATAAGGGAATTTTAAGGTTGGGCAAATTTCCTGCATATGTACTCATTTGTTAATTATTTTCTAATTGCAATTTCTTTCATGCTAGATGGTAGTCCTTGTCTAAAGTTACTCTATGTTTTGGCTATAACATTGTTAGATGACACCAGAGCTGTAATTTGAAAGATGATTTGCAAATTTGGTTGAATCCATAAATAACTCCTTGCAACCCGTGAGACATACATTTTGGCTTTTCGTCATTGTAAATATACACTAAATGTTGAGTTCTGAAAACATGCAAACGTTTCATATTGAAGAGTGTTGAGCGCAAGAAGCTCTAAACAAAATCTGCCGACAGTTTTTATTATCACAAATGTCATATTTTATTTTTCACTACAATCATCCAGATGCTTCATACTATCAATCCTGCATAAATTATAAAATAAAAAATATCCATAATGAGCAGATGGAGATCTTGTGGAATCCTACAGAAATGTTTCCTGGCAGGAACGTTACAGTGTTTTATAGGTAAGTATGATTGATTAGACTTGCTTTGAATTTCTAAGTATTAATGATAGTGATTTCTTGGAACAGGAGTAGCATAGTTTTACAACAATGTAAATCGTGTTGTTCTTCATCATTTTCCCCATTCTTTTGTTTTGTCTAGAAGAAGAATAGGCAAATTTTTTATAACTAGAGGCTCTCTTTTTTCATTTTTTAAATCCTTGAGGGCTTTTAAACAATGAAATTGATATGTTAAGCCTATCAGAGATTTATTGTACTATTTTACTTTAAAAAAAAAAAAACAGCAGCAAGCACATCACCATTATTTGAGTTTCAGTGGCATAGCTTTGAGACTAGGACCAAACAGGGCTGACTTGATCTAGGTGGAACTTACTGTAATAAATAAATAAATAGGATTAAAAAAAATTTTTTTTTACTCTCTGAACTGTGACTAACTGGTGAATGCCCATCTGGCTTCCTTTGGCTATAAATATCCATTGTTGATTCTAATTTGAAAAAAGTCCCGATGCAATTTTTGTCTTGATGGCTGAATATTTTGTATTTTTGACACTTCCATTAACCTAAAACCTAAATGTGAGGAAACCAATATTATTGATCTCACCTGGCTTTCTTTAATGCACAGTTATAACATTTTATTCAGAACTATCTGCAGATACATTTTTCCAGAACTAACCTACAGTCTAATAAGACTGTTCCAATGGTGGGCAAACAGATGCTGAAAAAAAAGGCCAAAAGTGGGTCATCAGGAACAACAGCACACTCCAATGCTGATTCCTCTTACAAACGCCCATCCTGTGAAAAAGCATGAAGAATTGCATATAGTATTCTATTGGAGAAATGAGAATACAGAGTTATTTAGGTTAAGTTAGGAAAACTGTAACTTTATTATTTATTTATTTTATTTATAAATCAAACTTGTATGTCACCCATCTCATTATACAAGTGATTCTAGGCAGCTCATGCTGCTGAGAGAGGCAGTAGAAAAAATGATCAAGTCTTATCCACTGTGGCCACCACTGTATCTTTAACTCTACTTGGTGATCATCATAGGAACAGGTGTGGGTCAAATATGTCCAGATGGCTTGAGGACAGGGCTTCATTCACAGTGCCAAAGCTACCATCTTCACCATTTTGACTTCCCTTGTGGACATCCCTGATTGTTGCACTTTATGTACTGCTTTTGCACTTAAACTGAAAAGCTTGTTGCCACTGAGTTCTTGTTACCTAGAAGACTGATGAAGTAGCTGTTACCCCCACTGATTTTGCCTTCACATGTTTATTGTAAGACAGATCTGTGAACTGCCTTGATAGGTAGAGACACATTGCTGGAATTTCTTTTCTTTCCAGTCCTCCCCCACAGGATCTTACTCTAGGGGCAAATGTTAGGAATTTGGGTGGAAAAATGGTGCATGGTAGAAGATTCTGTGGTGATTTACACCAGAGATATTTTGTTTCATGCAGAATGCAGTTCAAAAGCTATTCAAACTTAACCTCTGAAACATGCCTATATGCTGCCGTTGAACAATAAGGGTGTCGTGGGCAGAGAAAATTAACAGTGCCAGCTGTAACGATAAGAATATCTGAAGAGCACTTTAACATCATTGTGCCTCCCTGGCGCTTATCTTTTTCTGGTATTACCTTCTTTTAAAGGCGAAAACAGTGGAGTCTTTTGTGAATCTAAGAAGAAACCTCCGTCCATCCCTCTCAAATGTTTAAGCCAGCCTGCAGTGACTTTTCAAACTGCAGAAAGGCTGGCATTAGCACTCTGAGTTGGGTTCATTTTCCCCCCTTCCTTTTCTTTTCTTTTTCTCAGGTTAACATTGTTGAGTCTATATTATTTTATTGTAAAAATTGAACTTATGTTGATTAAATTGCTGGTTTGTATATGATTTGAGCATACTGAACTGAGCTAAGTTTTTAATATTATTTTTTTGAGTAGAAGGAGTGAATATGCAACCCAGGGAGTCCTCTTCTACACACACACACAGACAAAGGCATAGACACACACATGGAAATTCCCTAGGAACTGTTTAGATTCTTTTCTTGGCCTACAAAAGCAGAGAACTTTTATTAGAAAATCAGAATTTTTCAGGGTGGGACAAAGCTGATACCTTCAAAAGGCGTGGAATTTCTTCTGTCTAAACCTGGGACAATGAAGCAATCAGCACTTGCTGCAAAATAATAGGAATATTTTATTTTTCAAAGTATTCATTGCTTGATTCTCAAAGGATAGTTTTTTATGATACAGGAGACACACCAGGACCAGAATTCCCTTTTTCTTGTGATCAAGAATTACCTCCTTCCACACATTTAGCTGTAGTCATATTAGATAACTTTATTTAATATTGCTATTTCAATTTAGGTTTGAAGAGCAGAACTGGAAGCAGTGCATCCAATATATTCATGAACATGGATACAATATCGGTTGTGTTTTTCAACCTGAAGGACGTGAATTTGATATTTCCATCAGAGATACAAATGGGGTACAAGAACTTTACACAGATTTAAAACTAGAGAGCATAAAATTCTGTAAGTCTATATTTTTTATCTATTGGAAATCTACTCATGTGACCTTAGATATAGTTATGGGGTATTTTATATTCAATATAATTGTAATTGCATGCAGAGTATCATTTGTAATTTATTACTTAGTATCATATTTCATGACAAAAACATAGTAAGCAGTCATAAGAATGTGACTTAATTCCTGGATTAATTCCAGATTTCTTTTCTTAAAAATATCTCAAGCCTTTAGTGAGCTGCTAATTTCAGTGGATTGACACTTTAATGAGCTCTTACTACTCAAGAAGGTCTGAAGAAGTTTGAGAAAATTCATTCTAATCATTCTTTGTCTCTCTAAAGAATTAACTATTTAATTGCCAAGTAGACTATTTTTAACGACCTTGGTATTAAATGTGTTGATTTGACATTTTTGTTGAGAAAATAATCCCCTTATTCTAAAATAGGGCGACAGCAAGCTGCCTTATTCCAAGACAGACATTGTTCCATCTCGGTACTGTCTACACTGATTAGTATCTTTGTAGGGTTTCAGCTGGAGTTTCTCTCAACTCTACTTGAAGTGACCAACCTGGGATAGGTTGCTTTCCTGAAGATCAGAAACTAACACTACTGTAGTTTCAGTTCTTCCCTTCACCTTGAAAACAGTGGTGAACTTTCTACAGCAATGTGCAGATTACATATTTAATACAGAGAGAACAAATCTATTCTGGTGACTGAGCTGCCTTGCAAAAAGACTACCAAAAATGATAAACCTGACCTGAGAAATTGTCAGATCTATCCTTTCACCACGGGTAAACCTGAAATCTAGATAATATCTTTTCCCTGTGGTTAAATTCTTCAAGGGTTGAAATCCAAGAGAGCAGTTCAAGTTCATAGCAGCGTAGGGGTCTTGAGTCATGAACTGGATGAAGGAAAGTGAATTCTTGACTGGAGAAAGATGTTCCTGATGAGTAAAAATGAGAAGTGAGGATTACTAGCCACCTGAAATACAATTTTGAAGGAAGAAGTAGGAGAGAAATCTAATAATGAATATTTTCCCTGGCTTCCTTCAAATGCCACTCAATTTAACCTGCAACCTACTCATGCCCTATAGACAAAAAATTTGGTTTCTTCATAATGTAATTCTTTACAATGCCTGAGAAAATACTAATTTCTTGACAGCTGCGTAACATCCTGCTTCAGCATCAAGACCTCCTAAGGAAAGCATTTTTAAACACAACTAAGATCACATAAACACATAGAAATCACCAATTTTAAAAAGTCAGTGAGTTAGAAATATTATAAACCTAGTTTTGCTCCTACCTGTTATTCCCAGTAGACATAGTACTGCCCTATCAGACCACCTGCAACATTCTGGATTTTTGAATTTTATAGTAAAACTTGGTGCATTACATATTGAAAAGATCATGAAAATTCCAGTGTATAGAAAGATTAATGTACAGGCAAAGGGGACATTCAAAAGAATGATTAAACATATGTACTCTTGCAATGTAAAAAGCATTAAAAAAAATAAAAGCAAATGTGTGTATCTAGAAAGATTTTAATCTATACTGATGTGATTTCATCTTTACCAGTGAAGCCCAAACCTCCTGTAAATGTAACCTTCCATTGGAAACATGACAAAGTGATCATAGAATATAAGCCACCCTTCTCTCCACATTGTTATATATTGGAACATCAATACAAAAGTGAATTTGATGAAGATTGGGTACGTGCCAGATGGAATCTTTTGTTACCTAGATTCTAAGGTAAAGGGGATGGGATGTTGAAAAGGCAGTTGCCCTTCAAATATTTAAAAGTCTGTCACGTGCAGCAAGAATGGAGCTGTTCTCTGTTGAAATGGAGAGCAGGACAAGGAAAGGATACTCTGTTGAAATGAAAAGGAAGGATGCATTTAAGATGATTAGGAAGTATTTCATGATGGTAAGAGTTCTGTAGCAGCAGAATAGTCCACCTAAGAACGCTAGTAGACACCCTTTTCTGGAGCATTTCAAATGGATTGAATTTCAAATGGCTGGATCTCACCTGTAAGGGATAGTTTAGTGGATTGCTACATTGATCAGGGCGTTAGACTAGAAGGTTATAAGGTTCTGTCCTATGGAATGCTCCAAGATTCCATCAGGTGTGACACCAATGTGATGAACCTCACAATGAAATCTTTTTTCTAGTGATGATGATAATTGCAAAAAATCATAGATTGCAAACTATTGTCCAGGTGATGTTTTCTTAATTGCCAATGTAAAAATAGAAAGATGAGAACTTTTTTTAAAAAGTCGATCAATTTGGGTTTAAAATATTTTTTTATGCTCTAAGTTTCCTACTATGTTTTGAATTGTGGTGCAAGCCATTGAACTATAAATGAGACATGCAGATGAAGAATTTAACTTTTTACATTATTGGTAACAGGCACAAAGAATGAATCTTTCTTATATATCTGAGCATTTCAAAAGCCTTTGCTATCTAACCTTGGTTTTTCCTATATCTACTAGGATAAACTGGAAGGGGGAATGTACATATTGGAAAAATTATTAATGACTGCCACTCTTGCCATTCAGTCTAGGAAAAATGAAAGCTGCAAGTTTGAAAGACAAGGTTTTGATCCAGAGAAGTGCTACTCCTTCCAGTTTAGACTGAGATTCAGATGCAGTGGGTATTCTTATCCAAGTGAATGGGGACCAAAAACACATTGGAAAAATGGCAGTTCTGTAGGTAAAAACTGCTAAATATGATTTCCTCTTTCATCATCATCATTATCAGTAAGTCTCTGATGCTTGTCATATATTTATTGTTCACAGGGTGCTCTTTAGAGTAAGTCATGAAGTTATAGATACATCAGGGCCACACTGTCAGCCTTGCAAGGTAGTCCAGACAAGAAGCACACTCAGAAGTACTAGTTCTAACTTTATTGTAGGGTTACATGAACAGAGTCTTGCAAGTCTGAAAGTACATCTCTTCCCCCCTCACCTTTACAGTCGAAGAAACTAGGGCGGGTCCCTTCTGAGATGTTTGCCATGCCCCCATTGCTTCTGCAGCCTCAGCTGCCTCTTGTCTGACCATTTTCTAGTCTGCAATTCTTCCATCTGTCTCCCAAGACCATTCTCACATACCATTCCACAAATATAGCCTTCCATTGATACAGCCTCTACAGCAGCAGTCGCTGGCAATGGCAGGTTATTATATGCCTCATCAGTTAACTTAGTAGAGAAACAGAATGTCCCAGATGCTGTGATCTTAGATAGGAGAATATCTCTCTTCTGTCTCTTTCCCAGGTCTGTTCATGCTAGTGTTGAATGCCAGGACAATCCAGAATAAAACCTGGTTCATCTCTGATTTAACTATGGGTTATTTATTTATTTATTTATTTATTTATTTATTTATTTATTTATTTATTTATTAAA